AACCTTGAATGTGATTGTTAGTCCTGTCTATATATGCATTTATACTCAAATGTTTTGTTTTTGTTTTAAATCCCACTCAAACCTTGCGTTTAATAGTTTCTTGTTTTATATAATATTTTAAGCTTTGAAACAGTACCTGATATGTTCTACTCGGCCTCCTTCCTCAATGTCTCTTCACCCTCCTCGGCCTCTCACGGTTGGAGAGGGATTTTAATAGGCCGTGAACTTTTGCGTAAGGGCCTTGGCTGGAGTATTGGTGATGGTAGATCCATACCGGTATGGGAGAGCTGCTGGCTATCCACTAAGACTCCTCTATCACCAATCGGTCCTCCAAGGGACTCAAACTCACAGCTCATGGTGAGCGATCTCCTATATCCTTCGTCCAAGGAATGGAATATTTCTGCAATCAGAGCCCACTTACCTCAGTATGAGGACCTCATTAGAAAACTAATACCAAGTTCTAATCCTATGAAAGATGCTCTGGTTTGGTTACCGGAGAAGTCCGAGATGTACTCTTCAAAATCAGGATACGCTCTGATCCATAATGTACCGACTGAATATCGGAGTGATTTTAATTGGAAACGATGCATTTGGAACCTGAAAACCTCTCCTAAAATCAAGCGCTTCTTGTGGAGGGTCGTCAATCAAGTCGTACCCGTAGTTAGCAATTTGGCTCTTCGGGGCATCTCTGTTGCTGACAACTTATGCAAAAGATGTAGACAACCCGAAGAGGAACTTCATCTATTGTTTTCATGTCCATACGCGGCCAAAGTCTGGAACCTTACTCCTGCTCAGTTCATCCCCCGACCAGAGCTTATAGCCTCCCCTAGCAATGCTAATTACGGAGCTCATGCACATGCTTAACTTACCTCCATCAGGTATAGGTACCCCACCATTGTATCTTTGGCTACTATGGAACCTCTGGAAATCACGCAATCAGTTGCTCTTTGAGAACCGATGCTTTTTCGAAGAGGAAACGGTGCTTAAATCTATCAAGGAGGCTAGAGAGTGGTCCTAGGCTCAGCTCCAACTACCAAAACCCCCCATCTTTGCACCAATCCAATCTGTTCCCAACACACTATCAGGGGCTTCTACTGGTTTTGTCGACGCTGCGTGGATCGATACTACAGGCGATTGCGGTATGGGATGGCTCTTTAGCGATGCAAACCAAGTTCCCCTGTTCCAGGACTCTTCCGGACGAAGCCTCGTCAGTTCCGCTTTATGTGCAGGAACACTTGCGATGAAACGGGCTCTGGAAGTAGCAATCTCCTTCGGCATAAAAGAGTTGAA